GAATCGTGAAAAGTGCGCAGTTGTCCCGTTGCTGCGCGCTGCAACTCAAACTACACTAAACCTATTAAAACACTCAATATCAAACGTTTCCTTCTAAAATCATCGACATTTCTGCGACAAACAAAAGAAGATTGATTTCATACAGTAAAACTATAAAATTTGATACTTAACCCTTTGCACTCCACAAATTTTCACTGGAAATACTCAGTACTTCGACATTTTCCAAAATTGATTTGACAAGAAGTCGCACAGTGAGGAAGGAAACTATTTTCTTTCAATATTTCATATCAATGCATCATACAAAGTTGAATATTAAACCTCAAACTTTACAATTTAGCTGTGTCAAATCAATTGGCTGAGAGTCACCTCTCGAGTGCAAAGGGTTAAACTTCGTGCAATGCATCAATTTGAGAAGCATTCAAACAAAGCTTCGTCCCTCGATGCGTGATTTCTCGAGTTTCGCAAAATATCCTCTCTTCAGAAAACGTTAAAATATTTCTAACTTCCGAGTGCAAAGGGTTATTAGAATTATCAACGCTCGACGAACATCCACCGAATAACTCAATACAATCGACAAATTTTCAGATTTCATTTCGTTCGACACTTGTCCTTCCATCGACAAGTGTCAAACGAAATGACACAGAGACACCCGGTACATAGCCTGCAGCACGTGCAGCGCACACGCTCGGCCGGTTCGCCCGAACAGCCCGTCAACCGCGTTCCGCCACGTCGCGCGAGCGGCTCGGAGGGGTTGAAAAATGGCGCGCGCCATTCTTCGTTGGGGGACCGCGGTAAATAGAATAGCATCGTTCCCAGCGTGCCGTTTCCTTCGGAATATCGTCCACGCGATCGTTTCCACGGTCGGATTACACGGAAGTGGAGCGCGCGATCGTCGCGTAACAGGCGAAGGAGAAAATTTTTATCGAGCGGCCTGTTTCTCGTTGCAGGGGCACGCCACTTTCTACGTATTAAAGCTGCCAGGTAAATTAAAGGAGTTTCTGCGCCGGTGTACCGTTTCCGTGCACGCTCCCGTCCTCGGGATAAATTGGAGCGTCGGGCGACCACGGCGAAACGTAGGAGCTTTCGTTAATTAAGTGCCTCCGCTAGGAGATTGCGAGGCGGCATTAAGGCTCCGTCCGTTACAATCCGCTCCGAAATAAACTCGGCGGACTGACGTTTAACGCGCTCGCCGCTGCTGCGGCGGACATCGACGACAGGGGTTTCGAAACGAGAGAACAATTATAGCTTGTACGACAACCGACGGATACGAATGTTCGGCAGAGTGAGTAACTGGATAATAATGCGACGTGACAATCGCGATGCCAAAGAATTCGCAGCTCTTCCTTTTGTCTGCGGACGGCATAAGCGATACGAGACGCTGGTTTTCGTGGCTGCAAGAACCAGGTCGAGAAATCTATTTTAATTTAAGAAAACGATCTTTATATTGTGCGCAGGTTGAATTTCAGCTACTAGAAACGATACATTTTTAACCCTTCGAACTCTGTAGGCTCCAATATCGCAGCAGTTGTAATATTGAACATTCTAACGAATCTTAAGGAAACCACCCTAAAATTATTCGACTTTCCACACATCCAAATTTCGCACTGAGAAGGAGAATAAAAGACCAAAGAGATGTTACAGCATTTCTTATTTTCGCTAGGAATACTATAAAAATTAGTTGCAGTTGCTGATAAATTACGAAACAACCTGGAGAGCTAAGAGTCATCGATCAAACCGAAATTTGCAACAGAAAAGAATATTTATTGTTCCATTTCTAAGCAGGCAATAACAGAAGAAGCAGTTAGAAGGATAAATAAACTTCATTTGATAAGAACCGATATTTTTTAGAAACGCGATCACTGCCGATCAAACGGTTAACTGCTTCTCACCCTCCACAACCGAATATTTCATGCAACGATCATCATTTCGGCTGGACGAGTCCTGAAAGTCCGATTGATTCTTGCCAGGGGAACCGGTTGTCTAATGTCGGCGCGGATCGTTCCAGCCGCGAGAGGCCAAAACGTCCGAGTAATCCTTACCGCGGGGAACCGGTTATCTAACGCCAGACTCGGCAACAATGATTGCGGTCCGATCCGTCGTCTCCCAAGGTAAGCCGCGAGTGCGTTCACGCGAAACGAGCATAACAGTGGCATTAACATAATCCCACGCGAGCGTGGTGCAGCGCGCCGAGCGACGAGCGTCTGTGTTCAGCTCCTCGGGAGGACCGGTTTTTGCGCGGCGAGGCGCGATGCGGAGAGGACGCCGATTCGCTGGCTCGCGATCGCGTGATCCCTCTCGTAACGGGGAAACGGAGAGACGCGTGTAAACGCGAGCGCAGGTGAACGATCTACGGCGATCCGCGATCGACAGCGCACCGTTTCGTTCTCTGCGCGCCGGGCGGCCGCTTCTGGGGACCCCGAAATTTCACTGTTCGCATAACGGAAATCGAAAGTTACCGATCTGTCGCTGAGTCTGCCAATGATTTTCATCCGATAAAAATTCTGTGCGAATAAATTACGTTTCTGTTTATACAACGTTGGAATCGAAACGCAACGTGTCCATTGTCACTGAAAAATCTTCGTAGTTTCCCCATAATGTAAACAAATGTAAACAAATCTGTAATTATCATATTCTTAGCTCTATACTTTACAAGTTTTGTCCGAAGCATTTCGTTCTATCACGCTCGATCTCCGATTGATCGCCGACCGATCGCGCGATCGTCGCAGCGCGCGTTCCCATTTCTCGAAACGGCCGACCTTCGCCGGGATGAAGCGGCTTGCAAATCGCGAGGCATTGTCGTCCCACACGCGAGTCTCTTCCGCGCAGTTTCTGCGGCCAACCGCGGACTCTGCCAAGGTTTTTGAACCGCTGCGCAGCGCAGTTGCCGAACTATGCGCGATCGTGGGCTCGGACGTGGCAGCCGGCCGGCAATTATGCGCCGAGGCCTCGGATCGGAATTCGGTTCTTACGAGCTTCTGCGCAATCGGGCGTCGATGCGGCGGAATGTGGGTGAAGTGAGGCTGCGCACGGGAGGGACCCGTGGCACTCGGTTCAGATAACAGAAGTCTTAGATAATGGCTGTCGACGGCACAAAGAGGTCTCGGCGCAGCGAGGGCTCTAATGGAGTCTAATTGCAACGGAAAACCTGCGCGCAGCGACGCTGCGACAAAGGCTGATTGTAACGTGACCTGGACTCGAGCTCGGTGTGTAACATGGCAACCGGTCTCTCGGATCGTTAGCGTAAAAAGGCGCCGCGAACGTCAAGGCCGTTCGTTCGCGTCGACCGGGAGCTGCTCTTCGGCGGCGCAAAAAGTCTCGGTCGACCGAGGACCACCGCGAAACTCGGCGCGCCGTGAAAATCGGCTGGCCGCGGCGCGTCCGCGACCTTACGAGGCCGCAGAAGTAACAGCTTCTTCTCGCGGCGGCGACGCATTCTATTTATAATGGTTTATCTGACCGAAGGCACGGCTCGAAGGAGCCGAGCGAAGCTACTGCACTTTCCAAGACCTCGACGCGCGGCCGCTCGCGAAAGGAGCGACAGCGCAGGCGGTCGAAACAACGCGTTTGTTGAGCAACTGACTCATGGAAAATCCTTAGCGCCCCTCTTTCGCGGCTCGTTATCGTCGTTACTCATCCCGTTCGCCGATAGTATTGTCTTCGGTGCTATTTCCGTGCGCACAGACGTTCCCCGATAATAAATAACGAGCCTAATCGCGCAGATAAACGAGTTTGCGGGGATGGAACGGGCTTCAAGCGAGATCTCGATGATTGTTGCCTGTCGATCGGACGATTTTGCGTTGCTCACGCTGCTCGATGCCTTTTGCGAAGTGTACACTCGCGATTGGCAATGAGAATCTTGATATTTCTAGTGGATGTTCGAACTGTACCGGAGATACCGCTTTATCGCTTTCATTGATTCGTTTAGTTTCCTCGATTCGTTTCTTGCTGTTCCCCAGTTTCCAGCTTTTCCGCTTTCAGAATGATTTTACAGTTTATTCAGATGTTATATCAAGTGTAAACAGTTTCTATTTTTCTCTTGATTACTCGCGAATGCTTAAGCGATAGAGAACAAGGAAACTAGACAACGAAAGAAATCATTCGTTTGCAACGTAGTATCAAATTTGAACAAATCTAGAGTTAGGATATAGAGGATGCATTATTTATGCGTAATAGCATGAAGATATCGAACGTAAAACGCATCGATTCGAAAGGACAATGGGACACGCGAGCCGTTCCCGCACACGTGCTCCGTGACCCACAAACGCGAGCAGCAGGGGCCGTAAACATGGCGCACGGAAAACGCGGCCGCTCGATGAAACCAGTTGCGCGTCTCCGCGTGAAATTCGAGCGGTAATAGACGAGGGATGAATGAAAGGGACGAGATCTGCCGGCGGAAGGAAGAGGAATCCGATGAATGACGATTGATCCGCGGATCTTCACGCGGGATCCCGTGTTCGTGGATTATTCTGTCGAAAACCAGAGCAAGGCAGAACTATCAAAATTTGAAATTAGAATTTGTACTGCTATGCGAAATATTTGAATAGTTGCTTAATTCATCTGTGAATTATCGGTCAGTTAGTTTCAAACCTTGTCGACTGTATCTCGTCGGAAAATGCTGAGTATTTCCTGTGCAAAAACACTAGTTTTATTAGTTTTATCTAGTTTCTTACTAGAAATATTCAACATTTCTTTACGAGGCGAAGACGATCTGAGACTAATTCGAAGAGAAACCAGTACATTGAACAAAGCTTTTATTCCAATGTTCCACGCATCCACACATTATACAAAGCTCAACATTAAATATCACATTCTATAGTTTTGTGTCAAATCAAGTGGTGAGAGTCACCTCAAGTTCAAAGGGTTAAGACGAAGGAGCAATACCTCGCCCAGATTGTTCCACAGAAATCCTCGAAACCAGGAAGTTCGATGAATCCCTACCGGAATACAATAAAACACCCCAAAAATCACGCGCATAGTTCATTAGTAACGACGAGACTGACCTTATTGCAGCTGTAATTAATATAGACTCCCTTGAGCTCGTCTTCGGTGGACAGTTCCGTGTTGGGGCTGTTCGGAGGGCTCTTCGGGCTGGAATAAACATTTCACAAATTTTACAAAATCTCACCCTCCCGCCGCCCCCGAAAAACGTCGCATCCGCGCGCGGATCGCCTTTTCCGCGGCGAACGAGGATGATCCGGTCATCGATAAGAACGTCGATGCCGTATCATCGTCTGACCTCAGTCGTACGATTCTCTCTACCGTTTCCCGATGTTTTTTCCACCGGTCTCGCGGAACTGCGAGCGATAATGCGAGCCTCTAGTCGTATGACCTCATCGAACATCTGCGCCTCGGCCGACTCAAGGCTCCGCGAGGCGGGTAAGCGCCTCCGATCCCCGCGGCGAGGATCGCGATTCAATCCCGGGCTGGGAGTTCGTTACCCCGATTATCTGGAAACTCGATCGGTCCCCGCGGATGACGCGCGGTCGCGCGCTGTTATCTGTGACGTCGGTGCGTAATTAAACGCGACCGACCTTGGAGGAGCGCTATCGCCGGCCGCTAGGAAAAACTCGGGAAAGAAACTGCGTCGCAAACAGCTAGCTTTCCTCGGCGAGCGCCTCCACTCGCGACTCCCAGCCTGAAACACACGTATCGACCGAAACTCGGGGACCGGAATCTACGTTTCAGCGAGAAGACCGAGGTAACTCGTGGAAATTCCGGAATTGAAGGTAGAACATTCCATGGAAATTAGGCTTTCACAGGTCTGATGCGTCTCCGAAGACAAGCTCGACTGGAGTAAATTATCCGCGACTCTGATGAACGAAACGATGATCGTAGTAGCTCGAAAATAAGAGTACACGAGCGAGCAACTCCTAAGCTGAAAAACTCGATATCGACAGAAACTCAGGAACTAGAATCTACGTTTCAGCGAGAAGACCGTGGTAACTCGTGAAAATTCCGGAATTAAGGGTAGAACATTCCATGGAAATTCAGCTTTCGCGGGTCTGAAGCGTCCCCGAAGACAAGCTCGACTGTAGTAAATAACGACGATCGTAGCAGCTCGAAAATGCGAGTACACGAGCGAGCAACTCGGATTTATTTGAACACGGTCGAGTCCGAGCACTGGAATTCGGAGTGCAGCGAAGGATGCACGGACATAAAGGTCGCTCGGAAGGCGAAAAAGAGACGAGAAGAAAGTCGGATCCGCGGCGAGAGCCGGTTTGTTTGCCCCCCATCCTCCGGCGGGTCCTCGCAGCGTGCAACGCCCACGAACACAAAGAAGACCGGCCAGAAAAAGATCCCCGAGGCATCGGAGCGTGTGCGCCTCTCCTCGGCGTCCTCTGACTCACGCGACCAGTCGGCTATTCTTTCTTTTCCACGGCGGTTAATACGCCCAAGCGGAACCAGACTTTCCAGCGCGCGATATACTCGAACCTTCTCTCCGTCCCGGCTTCCCGTAGACTCGATTTCATAATAGAGCCACTGTCTACTGGCCGGCCACTGCCCCCTGCCACTCTCTAACGCTGCCAATCAATTCGAGAGGCCGTTCGCGTGTTCTCCGACTTCTTTCCTCGTCGTTTCTTTTTTTCGAGTGCACTCTCGATTATGATTGATACAACCACTTCGTCGTTAACCGCCTGATTTATGGTAATGCAGGATGAATGATTTGTTGAGGGCGAGGTCGCATTGCGACGGACCGGCGCCGGGATGTTTGGGAAATAGTGTGACTGCGTTTAAGATTGGTTGTACGAAGAGTGAAAGAATGTCGGTGAGTGTTGCTAAATACGAGTGTCAGTTGAACGGCGTAAAACAAAAAATACGTCGAGAAGAGATCGCGACACACGTGACAGTTGTCTCTTCAATTATGGCGAAGTAGTTGTGTCGATCACGGTTGGAAAATAAGTCGTAGGGCGGGTCAATGTTCTACCTTAACCCTAGGTAACAACACTAGATTTACGAAACGAGTTGACTCATACCGAATTTTATAAACATTATTCATATGTCAGGGTCAATTGATCGAGAGTTACGCAAACATGTATTCTAATCGTTTACTTTCAAACCTTTAATTGTCAACATCTACTAAATCTCCATAAATCTAGTGTTACATTAATGTTACTACGTAACTAGACATTCGACTCATGGACTACGAATTACAGATGCATTTTTCTATATTCATTTCAAAGTAGCGCAGCTTAATTAGAAGAAAAAGGTGCATTAACGTTTGTAGTCTCGGTGCTAGAAGTGTGCTCCTGCGTTCGAATTCGACAATGGAGAAAATTGCTGGACTATTCAGACGAATGTTCAGTTGTCTAGAGTTAAGGCTCCCTCACAAACTTCCTATGGATCAGTCGTCCAGAGTTTCTGTACTCAAACGAAACGTGAACAATCCCGAAAACCGCCTCGCTGTTTCCTCGCTGTTGCTCCCCTTTTTACTGGCTATCAGCTATGGAACCGTTCCAAGGTGCGCGGAATGTCTTACCTATCTCTGGGAGTGTCCCTGCGGGACGAGGCGAGCGAATGCCTCGCGGACGACTGTGTGGAATCCCTTTGTGCCTCCCTGAGGAGCCGCAGATACTCCTCGCCGCCGCTGCTGAACGGTAATGGCGTTACCCTGTCGGGCACCGGGTTCAGCTCCACCCATGAGTCTGCAAGCAAAATGGGGCAACGTTACTTTCGATGGTCCGCAGGTACTGAGCCATTAGTCGAGAAAGTCGCCAACCCATTGCAGACGTCCATAGCTGTCCATTTCACGAACTGTACTCTAATGCGTTTGTTTATTTTTGAAAAATACACTGAACAAAAATGGCGTGACGGTCTAGGTAACATGCTAGTTGATTCTGTGAACGATTGTTCATGACTCGAGCTAGTCGAAACGAACAATTGCAGAAAACTGCGCTTCTGGGCATGGTTTTAGAATAGTGTGCGACGATGGCGATTTTCCATGGCCTGGATAGGTCGAAACTACGATTTTAAAGCTAACAGTGTACGGCAATTGTTCATATTAATTTTAACCAGTTAACTGTGGGGTTTTTGGAAAAACCTCTCGTTTTGCGCGCAATGCAATCGAAAAATGGAGCGTGCACTCGTCGAACGCAGGAGGATTATTCGAAAATATTCCCATATTATAAATAATACTATCTAATGCGGTGACGTTCAGCTACATGGACGTGCAGTTATAGTAATGCAATTCAATCGAATGATTTAATATCTTATTTTTTCCATTTTGTGTATTTTCCGCCATGAAATCGTGCGGCGTGCAAAGTGTTAATGAAAGATCAAAGCGAAACAAAGAATTACATGTTTATGTGAGAAAATAAAGAATTCGCTGGAAGAATTAGTGTCAAGCTTTATGACGTGTATACTCGTCACAAGTTAACTAATTAATCATTATAAACGGCGCGATGGTTGTACTGTAAAAGTGCCACTATAGAACGAAATGAACTTTATTTACTCTCCCTTTGAATGATTTATTTTTACTACCTGCTTAGAAACGGAACACGACCGCCCGTTTACAATCTTCCCAGGTAAAAATAGAAAAGCTTCCAAACCGAGACGGAATCTCGAAAATCCGTTTTCGACCGTTTTTGTAAAGACCCGCGGCACTCAAACGGTTGAGTACACAACGAAGACACCTGAGTCATCCCTCAGAGCTCTAGACCCGGGGAAATGCTCCGAGGTGTATACACAATCCGCTTTCCTATTGATTTCCCGGCAGACCCTGGGAAACCCGCCCCTCGCGCGGTAATAGCTTTGTAACGACGGTAATCTTCGGGAAGTAAAAGTCGTGGGGACTGCGGTATTCACAGCGGAAAAGGCGTCGCTGATTGCTTGCCCCCTCGTTGCGGCAGGTGCTCGAGGGACTCAGGTGTTCGAGGGACTCAGGTGTTCGTGCTCGACAATGGAACGCGGGGCTCCCGGCGTCGCTCGTTTCAATGCGCAATTGTGAAATGGACGTTTCGCGAAATGGGGATTAGAATAATGCGGGGTGTCGTTAATCGATAGATGAGCTCTGAAGACGAATCGAAGAACAGAATAAAATAACGGTGGAAAGAAGACACGAGTTTCGTTGACCCTTTGAACTCCGTAGGCTCCAATATTGCAGCAGTAATATTAAATATTTTGAATGAATTATATTGTGTTAAGAAAACTACCTTAAGATTATTAGATCTTCCAAATACAAAGTTTGTACTGAGGGAATTAGAGGTCTAAGAAATGTTATCATTGTTAATTTTCAGTAGGACCACTATCAGAATTCGAGTTGCTGACATATCACAAAACTGTGGAATTCTAAGGGTTAATAGAGTAAATTAAAGATCGTTTGAAATCCCTACAATAATGTGCATGGAATAATTAGGTAGATAAAATAGGAACGCCGCTATTACAGAAACAGGTTGCTGCAACTGGTCGGCGATTCCAGTATCAAAAACGCTACGAATGGGTTGTCGCGCGATAAAAATCCAGTTCACGTTAAAACCGAGTCGGTCGGTGAATAGATTTACTATGTAGTAATGGGATACTTCAACGTGGAACTGGTAATGCGGTTTAATTGGAGCTCGATCTTGATCGCGCCGAACGACTTCATCCGCGAGCGCCGGGGAAAAAGAGGATTCCGAATCGGAAAATCGTAAACGCCTGTTCGCGGCAACGTAACTGCCGATCGCGGTCGCCCATTATCGAGCAATCTGATTCGATTACGAGAGAAGTTCAGGGACAAGGTCCGTTAGATCGACGTAGCAATCGCGGAACGAGCTGCGTCACCGAAGACTACGCTTGACCCCGTGCGGACCGACAATATGGCGGATCCGGCCGCCGCCAAGGCGCGCCGCGAGACTTTCTGCCCTTCGTGGACAAACTTGTAAACGAATAATGTGATTATGCACAGAAGAGATTCAAACACTGTTCCCTCTTCCTCTAGTATTTCGAAATTCAGTCCATTTATCGATGTTTCCTGATTTTTTGTAGATTTCAATGGAATAAATGATATTCGTGTTCTAGAAATCACAGTTTATTTTAAAGTATAACGTTAGCTTCTCAAAGTAATATATTTGAAAAATTATTTCGTTTTACTGACAGGTTAATGACCGCAAGGTGACGTGCCTATTCTAACGTATGTTTACGCCCTCGCGGCTTTTTGTATTTATTTGGTTTTTCTATTGTCTGTTTGGCTGTCAGGTTAACGACCGCTACAAATGGAATAGCTGATATTCTTTTCAACTTAGCATCGGCCTCCGAGACTCACGTAACTCAGTTTCTTGCCGGAAGTTTCGAGAATTCCAAGCTTGTCATAAATACAGCTGAGAACACGAGTGACACAAGTAGTAATTACTTCTCCTCCCGTTCACCTGGATAATTAATCGACTAATTAGAGCGATCGGAAATCTTCCGCGCTACGAGGAAACGCGTGCACAGTTCCACGTACACAGCCCCGACGCGAAGGCGATTACATAAGGAAAATGAATCGATCGAACGGCAAAAACGTAATGCCACGGAAGTTTATGCTCCAATTGTGGTCGGTTCCATTGAGTTTCTCGTGTAAATTCCATGCGGTTTGCTCGTCGCGTGGAGCACCACGAAACCGGACAGAGATTCTGTCGCGAATCGGTGATTCATCGGCCACTCTCCTCGCAGAGTTCCCTGTTAGCGAGGATCTATAATTTTCAGTCTCCCCCTCGTATCGCATGATGAGCGTATAACCGGGGGAAATTCAACCGGGAAGCTCTATCAGTGAACTATTACCTTGTAAATAACCCGTGGTGATTAGTAAATTCGTCGATTAACGCAATAGTAGCTCCTATCGCGGTTTGTCGCTGACAGTCCATTAGGAAATTAAAAGAATTTGATACTTATTCGATTTAAACTCGAAACGTTTTAATTGGAAATATTTTCCGACGAGATATAGACGTTGTTCGAAACTTAATGATTCACAGATAAATTGCAGCAAAGCTATTTTATTGAAATATTTAAATTTAATTTAAAGTACTAAATATTCAGCTTCATAGTTTTGCTGCATCAAATCAAGTGGTGAGTCACCTATCGAGCGCAAAGCCGTACGATGCCTTCAACGGATGAAGCTAAATTATATATTGATTACCTAATTAATAGAAAACAGGGAAACTACATGCTAATCTCTTGCTGTTTGACTAATTAAATCATTCGTTCGCGACTTAGTCTTCCAAATAAAAATATTCCATCTCGCTGAAAGGGTTAACCCTTAGCACTCCGTTCTTTTGTAATCTATCAGCAACTGCAACTAATTTTTGCAACATTTCTTCTTTTATTTTCCTTAGCACAAAATTTGGATGTGGAAAATCGAATAATTTTAGGGTAGTTTCTTTGATTCATTAAAATATTTAATATTAGAACCGGTGCAATATTCGAACCTACAGAGTTCAAAGGGTTAAAAGTGTTCGAACTGTTGAAATTGGTCGGTCGGGAAGTGCAGCCGATAAGACGGCCGTTCCGCGACGCATTTCATTTCCTTCGGAGATCCGCGTTTCCTTCTGCTCCAATTAGTCATGTTGCAAAAACGTCTTCTCGCCGAGATAACGCAATCGCATCTCGCAACCGTGGGCGGCCCCAGTGAAATACCGGCGACACGCGCGCGCGCTATCGATCCGGCCGAACGCGAGCAGTGGTCATCGGACGGCGATCGATGATTTCATCGTGGATCGTTTTCTTTTTTGCGGGAATCGAGATACGGGGGAGTGGGTTTTTAATTGACCGTCTCGGATGTTCCGCGAGGAGAAGCTGAACGGAGACGGATACGTGACTCCCGGCACGTTCATTCCAATTTTTCTCGGATTCCCTCCAGTGTACACTCATCGCTTTTTGCTTGTGTTAATTAGCGATGCAAATATCGGATAACGCTTAAATTACAAGCTACGCTTCTGTCGTAACTCTGATAACGAAGATGCAACTGCGGCAGATCACTCGGCAATTTTTAGAATTTTCCTTCATTGACTTTTTCGATTTGTCACTGCCTTCCTTTTATTGCTAGAATATTTATCAAACCCCGTTTCGAAGTGTATCAATTAAAGCATCCTATCAGCAACCCACTTTGATCGATCCCATTATTCACGCATTTTTAATTACATTTAAATTGCTTGAACCGACAGAAATTATCATACTCGGAGGTTTCTCACTAAAAATGTTTATTTTTTGACGAAGATATTCCTTGAAATTTTAAGGGAAATCACAAGTATATTGAGCAAAGCTATTTTATTCCAATATTTCACGTATCAAGTTATAAAGTTCAATATTACATATCAAAGGGTTAACCCTTAGCACTCCAGGTTGTTTTGTAATCTATCAGCAACTGCAACTAATTTTTATAGTATACCTAGCGAAAGTGAGAAATGCAACATTTCTTCTTCTATTTTCCTTCTCAGTGCAAAATTCGGATGTATGGAAATACGAACAATTTTAGGGTAGTTTCTTTGATTCACTAAAATATTTAATACTATAACTGGTGCAATATTGGAGCCTTCAGGGTTAAAACGAATAAAAATTCCTTTCGAAGGCGTGCTGTGTTTGTCCGGCAGTTTCCCGTCCTTCTATACCCCGACACTATGCCCCGTTTAACTTCATTGATCGGTTGAAGCACGTCTTCTCGCATCCGCTACTTCTTCGTAACTCAATGAATGCA